CCTACACAATGTATACATAAGTATGTTCATATAAATAAAATATATAATCACTATACGGTGTATGTTTTATATATTATGTTTATATATATATACTAATATATATGTACATATAATTAAAATGTAAAAAATCCGGCTGTATAAGTTTTGCATTATAAAAATTTAAAGTAAATAAATTGCTTTTGTTTTTTTCTTTTGTTGATTTTTTAAAGAAATAAGAAAAAAATTATAATTTTTATTCTTATGTTCTTAACAATTTATATTTATAGTTATTTATTATTATAAAATTATATTTTATCTATTTGTATTTAAAATCAAGATTTGAATATTATGCACGTAGGCCAAAACATTTTCTGTAATAACAAAAAATGAAGAAGAGCCTTTTAAAATTTAATTGAATTAAATAAAAAAAAAAAAAAAGAACCTCCAACTAAAAATAAGTGCTAAATTTAAAAAATAAAAATATTGTTTTTTATTTTTTACTCAACTTCATAAATAAGAGCTCAATAATTCATAAGAGCTTAAAGAAAAAAAATAAATTTTATTTTGAGAATTTTTTTCTTACTTATTATTTTTTTCTCATTGTTTGCACCTACTTATATTTGCAATTACATTTTAATACATTTATAAATTTTCTTATTTATTTTACATTAGGGGTTTTCACTCATACTGGTGTGTTAGAGCAAAAAAAGGGGAAAAAAATTTTTCTTCCAACCGAGAAACCGAACATAATTTGCGATGTAAAATTGTCAAATAATTGACAACCATAATATTATGTTTTTTTTTATTTGCAGTTTGAAAATATTTTAGAAATTTAATTTTACTCGCAAATATTAACAACATAAATAACAAAAAAAACGGGATTTTCAATTATTCGGTTCTAACTTAGTTCGTTTAATAATTCAGTTCTAAATTCTAACTTATAAATCAATAAATGCTATCTGCAAAATTCAATAGAAAAGTGTTGGATACTGAAAAATTACTCGATTTTGTAAGGAATTGTAAGCATTTCTGAAAAGACTTTTAAGATTTAATTTAGTATTTTCGGTTCATGTCTCAGTTCTCGAAAATCTCCCAGTGCATAACAAAAAAGAGTTTTTGTTTTAATGCAAATTTATCAGTGGAAACCTTTTGCTCTAATCATTGAAGGCTTATTGATTATATTTTTGATTGCGCCTTTTTTGAAAAAGTTATTCTTTTTTTTTTAAACATTCTTAATATACAATAAATTTTACAGTATAACAAAACAAAACACGTTCGCATACATTAAAATATTAAAAATATTAAAAATTCAAAACTTTTCTTACTATTTATAATTTTTTTTTGTTCATTTTCCGTGAGAAAATGAATTTTGTTTTGTGAGAATAATAATACAAAACATGCTATTAAATAAATATATGACGTCATTATTTTCTTATTCAATATTGATAATATTCAATTGTTTTGTAATCAAATTTATTAAAGAAATTTAATAATTTATTACAAATTGTTATACATAATATAAATAGAAATTATGCCAATATATAATTTAATTGGATATTTTCGAAAATTTAATTGAAATGCAGATTAAATTGAAGCAAAATCCGTAATTTGGAAAGTTAATCCGGAATCAAATATTGTATTCTGCAAAAATTATCGTATAACTGGATAGATAGACTTAATTTTTGTAATTTGAGCGTGATTAAATATTCAAATGAATATTAAATATTGTTGTACTTTTCATACAAGTTGTTATTTACGATAATAAGCTCTACATATTAAATTTCTTAAGATTTCTTTAAATTCTAACACAATTTTCATTTACTGTTAGAATAATATCAACATTTTATGGAATGGTCCCAAGATTTTAATATGTGTATAAGCAAAAATAATTTTTAGGATAAAATTGAGTACAGAAACAAAAAAATATTTGTATGTTTAGTAGTGAAATAATAATATTTGTATGTTTAGTAGTGAAATAATAATAAAAGTAAATTGAAAGTAAAATTCTATCATAAAATTTTGTGAAAAAGATTGTTAAGAAAAAAGGTAGGTAGGTCCATACATAATTAGAAGGTTAAACATTGTTTTATTTTAAGAAATACGTGGGTAATTAAAAAACACAAATTATTTTTTAAAAAAAAACCTAACCATTTTAATCCATATTAATTATAAGTAATTTATTTATTTGTTAGGGTCTCCAAACACACAAAATCATTGTGTATACATATTTTCTTTTACAAATTTTTCAATTATATTATTATTATTATTATTTTTATAATAAAAAAGAAAAGATTATTGTTTCTTGTTTCCGCCCTTATATTTTTATCATTTAAATTTTTCCTTGAAGAAACAATTTTCATCAAAAAAAATTCTACACTTTTGTTTTTCTCTGAGAAAAAAAAATATACCCAGAAGATCTTATTTTAACGACCTTAGTTGTGGGTGTATATCCTTTTTGAATTCTTATTTTTCATTTATATATTTCATGGAATCAATGTAATTTTTAAAAACAAATCTTGTTATATTGATTACATGTACAACTTTGGCATTTAAGGGAGCAATTTAATGTGCATATATGAATATTACTTAAATATTAAATTCCTTAACAAAATCACTGAAATTAAAAATTTCATTTGGTTTGAGTTGCTAGAATTCTATTTAAAAATTTATTTAATACCTTCAACAACATTTAATTTTATTTCTACAATTTCTTGTTTATTCTTGTACCTTATCAGCAAATATTTTCAATATTTGAAAATATTTTTAATGTTTATGAAAAAAGCATATCGTACATGATTTAGCAAATCCAATTCTAATAATGTACAATGCCTTCTGCCTTCTTTAGATCCTAATAAAATAAAATAGTATTCTTACATTTATAATTAAACATTCTTTTAATTTTATTTAAATTGTTTATCAATTTTAGCAAATATAAAAATACCCAGATTGATAAAATCTCTATAACAATGAGTAAGTAAAGTTATAGTGAATCGTCAAATTATGACTATATTTAGTAATAAAAAAAAAAACTTATCTAATAAAGACTATTTTATATTTGCAAACTCATGCATTACTAATTTAAGTTTTAAGAAGTCAAAAAGAGGTCAGTTTTTCTCTTACTTCAATTATTGACATGAATTTGTTTTTATGATAAAAATAAATATTCAAAATTTTCATTGATTAAGTAAACATATCATAAACATAGACTAGCTCTTTGCTCTTTGAAGAATTTGAAATTACATTAAACATGCAATGTAATTAAATTTTTATTTTCTAGGATCATTGGAATTGAATAAATCAACCAATTAATTTTGATAATCATACATTTTTACGCGATTTATTACTAGTAAAAAGGTCATTACTCTTAAGTATGTACCTTTATTACAAGATGTAATAAATTAATTATCAAATTAAATTCATTAAGAGGTAAAAAAGAGTTGAATTAAATTTGATTTTAATTTTAAATTCGTTACGTATAAGAATATTGTTAGTTGCAACTGATAAAAAAACTTTTAGTTTAATCAAAAATCATATTTAATTTCTTAGACTGTAATCAAATTGTGTTAAAAATCAGTAGATTTTACATGGAAATACAAAAATAATTTGTTTAAACACCATTTTTGAAATAAATTTTCGGTCCTTTTACTACTTAAAAGTACTTAAGTAAACATAATGTGATAACATTACCAAAATATGTATCTAGTTTTGTAATTATGAAAAGCTACTATTTGAAAAAAATCACCTTATTCTAAATATGTAACTTGAATCGTTTTATCTCTTATCTTCAATTTTTGAATAAAAAATGAACAAAATATTATTTTCAATTATCAAATTTCAATAATAAATTTATAAATTCATTTTAATAAAATTTGAAAAAAAAAAAAAATACACAAAATTTTCCATTAAAAATTCAATTTTTTAATGAAAGTAGAATAAAATTAGATAAGAAATAATAGGATTAATAATAAGAACAGACAAACACCAAAGCTGAATCTGAAAGTAAAAACAAAATTTTGAGTAGACTATATAAGTAGTACCTAACTAATGCAATAAAATACGTGACTTACAACAGCACTAAATGAAATATGTAGCAGCATAAATAAAAATAGATAAATATGTATAATGATTATGAAAATATTAAAAATGATTGAATATTTAATGTATATTGTCTTAGGTAGGTATTTTTATCAAAGAATAACCTTTTATAATATTAAATTTGAACGCAGCCTGAATGTAAATTCTGTAAGGCACCTATACCATCAATGAAACCATAAACGGCATACATATGCATAAAGTATATGAATATGTAGATATCTAACTTCGTATGCAAGCAGGAATCTCATTCCCGCTTATCTAATTACAAAATCAACCACAAAAACACAAATTTAAAATAAGAAATATTGTTGACCAACGTGTGATTACTGATTAGTGATTACCTACCTACATATCTACATGGAATGCAATAAATAGATTTCCGAATATTTTTTATAATTCATAAAAAAAATGCATAATATTTAATCCTATTTCAAATAACCTACATACATTCCTTCAGCATTTTAATTAAATTTGAATAATAATAAAAAATAAAATTTATGTTAAAAATTCTATCACTCTTGATAAAAATAATTTTGAATAAATATTAACTAAGTTCTCTGGAGTGAGATTATTGAATCGTCATAAAAGGATTGCATAAATTTTTCCTTTGTAATTTATTGTAGTTTTTTTCTTTTTTTTTTTATGTAAAATTAATGCAAAACGCTAGTCATTATTGTAATGATGAGTAGATATTTGTGTTTGTATAGGTTATTCAAAAACTTGAAGAATGATGTAAATTAACCGCTAGCAGTATGATACAGAAAGATATGAAATTAAAAAAAAAAAATGTTTTTTTTTTTTTGGCATTTAGTATAAAATCGATTTTGAAGCAGACCACGCCTAAGAACAAAATTTAAGAAAAAAAAATTAAAAAAGAAATAAAAATGTATAATATAAAATACTTAATTTAATATTTATGATTTTACCTTGTTTTAAAAGAGACCAGGAAATTATTTGATCTAATTTGTCGTTTGTCAAAGTTGAAATAATCAATATTATTTCAGGTAGATATAAATTTATAAGGACCCTTCTTCATTTACCAGAATATCTTTTTTTTTTTTTCAATATTTTTTTCTATAAAACCTTATAATTATATACCGAAAAATGAATTATGAAAAATTTTATCTTGTATAATTTAAGCACTAAATTTTATTTATAATCTTTATGTTTTTTGTTTCATTCCAGATAATTTTAACCATAATTATGCGCTAAGCTTTTTATGCGGTATATGTAAGATGTTGCAATATATTATTGATCGATTTCTTAACTGCTTTCTTTTGGATATTACCGACAAAATTTTATTTTTGGTTTCTTTCTTTTTTTTTATCTTCTTATATTTTCATTTTGAGAACTTTTCACAAATATCTAATAAAATTTTTTGAATTATCAAAATATAAAATCAATATTTTTTTACCTCAACCTTATTAACACTAAAATTTTACCGAATTGATTAAATTTATATTAAAATTAACAAAAAAAAATAATTACACGCATTCGCACAAAACTATCGCCACACCATTCACCACAGTAATGTCCAAAATGTCTGGCTTAAAAGTCATCAAATGTCAAAATGACATTATTAAATTCAAAATCGATATATGTAGGAATAGAAGAGTGATTCGTAATTTGCTACTTTTTATACCGTAAATAGTTTTTATAATTACTATGTTTCAATAGTAGATATATTTATTTTGTATTACAATTTTTACGAGTGAAATTACTTCAAATTAAGCAATCTGACTGATTTTATAAAATGATTGTTACTATTAGTTGATCCGTTCGAATTGACGCAACAGTTTAGTTGTAGATTACAAGCTAATAAAATGTAACATAATAAACTCAAAAAATGCAATACAGGATTTTCGAAGATAATAATGTATATTTATATAATATATGTTCTCAAACTTCATCTGGTGTTATACGCTTTCTATACTTGATCTATTGTTAATTTTTGATTGATATCATGTGAGAAACTCTAAGTCAGTTTTATTTTATAGTTCGGCATGCGAATTTATATAAAAGAAATAATACTACTAGTATAAAAAATTTCAATTAGTTTCATTTCTGTATTTTTTAACAATTTTATCACTGATAAAACAGTTTGATTTTCTTAAAATAGCAGTGTAGTAAATCAACTGCATTATCAATGTAACGATTAAAGTAATTAATACAGCATTATGTATTCTCGAAACATAACTAGCTATTTATGTCATTAATTTGTGTCGTATTCGTATATGACATTTGCGATAGCATAATATTTTATGTTTACTAACTTTTGTAATTTCCATAGTTATTTTTTTAAGATCCTGAATTTAAGGTGATTTTAATTTTGTTTTTTGTTTTAATTACGTATATACATAATCTATCCTTCTATTTTAGTGAAAATGGGTGACCGATACAATATTCACAGTCAGTTGGAACATTTGCAAAGTAAATACATTGGAACTGGTCATGCCGACACTACAAAATATGAATGGCTTACAAATCAACATAGGGATTCTTTAGCTAGTTACTTAGGACACTATGATGTTTTAAATTATTTTGCAATTGCAGAAAATGAGTCTAAGGCTAGAATAAGATTTAATTTATTAGAAAAAATGCTTCAGCCATGTGGTCCGCCACCTGAAAAACCTGAAGACTAGATTTTGTGAGATATGAATTTACAATATTTGAAAGAAAAGTTGTGCGTCTACAAATAAATTTAAACTAATAAGATATAAGTATGCAAAATTTAATTCAATGAAACCATTAAGTAAATGAGTATAACACAGAGATTTTATCCACATCTAGAGAAACAAAATATTTTCTTGTTAAAATTTATTAAATGATTTTACATTTAAATTTTATATACAATACTTTGTTTTTATGGAGAGTTATTCAGTTCGTATATTTGTATATATGATTCTGTCAGAGTTATCATTTGAGGCAGTATTTCGTTCACATGTAAATCTTGCATTTCATACCATTGACTATTTGGTTTATGAAAAAGATGAACTCTATATGTCCCTTTTTTTGGCTCTCCATCATGAACAATATTAGCAATCAAATTATATTTAGTGTATTTATGTTTCTTTTTATTCTCTGGTGTCAAAATATCCCCAAAATCAATATTTCTAATAGGGAAATTAACAATTGTTGGATTTTTTTCTAAATAGAAAGTATTTTTTGTAAATCGCTTGATGTATAATATTATAAATTGAGGTAATTTTGTTATTTCAAATTTCTTCATAAAATTATCTTTATACGTTTTGTACTCCTTTTCAGCAACGCCATTAAATTTTGATAAGAGCTGATACAAGCTTACTTGGGGAATGATATTTTCTCGAAACTCGTCCGTGAAGAGAGGCGGGGGTGGTAAATCACAAGTTAAATAAAGAAATTTAGAAGTTTCTGCTTTTTCTTGATATTCTTCTGTAGCGAGAAGCAAACTTTTTTGTGTTTCGTCTAATTCAACGGGTGGCATTTTTCTAGTATATATTTTCATTTGACCCAAGAAATTTTTGTAAATAATAGAGTAATCGTTTGACTTTTTCCCTCTTAAGGCCTTGTGCAATGTATGTAAAAACCAAGACAAAAATTCTACTGGATCTCCTTGTTCAGTTATTTGAAATTTTTTATTACTCCAAGAAACGACAGCTTGTAACATTTCATGTGGTGAAACATGTGATTTGAAATTTTTTGGATTCCACATTTTTCTCATTAATTCACCGAACCTCTGTACTAAAGTGAATATTGAATCTCCCGGTGGGCGTTTTATTTTGTTATAGTTCTCTTCATCTAAAAAATAGTCTCGTAAAGGCCCAACGTGTGATAGGGCATGAAGTATTACGTTGCAGTAATCATTTGCTTTTATATTATTTAAACCAACGATTCCTGGTATATAAGTAGTTCCCACTACAGTACGAGAAAATTTTTCAAGTTTCTTGTCGATATTTTTTATTTCTAAACTTGAAAAAGTTGGATTCAGTACGTATTTAATGTCGTCTAACGAAGAGTCAATGATTTCGTAGTTATCTGGCAAACAGTAGAAACGCAATGTTTGAAGATTAATGAATACATGATGTGATTCACAAACTGAATGGGTGTATGCATGAGTATTTGTACCACGTCCTTGGAAGTATTTACCACAAACCAAACAAGCATAAACATTGATTCTGGTCAGTGAAATAGAACATAGCTTTTCAAAATCAAAATCTAACATTGGTCTGTTGATTGTGTCTAAATATGGGCATTTTCGATATTTTGGATTGAAAACGGATGGTGTATATTCTATTTCACTCATGATCCAATATAAAACACTCCTTAAACTTATAAATGCCACAGATTTAAATTTTTTGCCTAAATAGTGCAGAATTAATAGATTGTTTTTTGTTTATTTTCTAATTTCTGACGTTTAAAACTGTCAAAATTCCACACCGGCTTGAAAAGTTTTCATTGCTCAATTGACATAACAGTTTCGCTGGTGAATCTGGTGGAATTTTAAGGTAACAATGATGTAATATTTTCTTTCTGTGAAATGTTATTGATATTAAAACTTTTCAGAAAATTTTTTATTTTTAATGATAATTTAATCGAACTTAATTTAATGATAATTAAATAATAAATATATATATTACATATATATTATAATATGTATATTAACCATCGATATATATATATATATATATGAATATAATATAATATATATATATATGAACCATCGATAATTGTAAAGAATATATATATATATTTATATGTTTATGTGGAAAACCAATTTTAATTTACAATTTACGACATAACTAACAAGGTTCATTTGTCACAACGTGAAAATTTGGAAACAATAGTAAAATATGCTTTCAAATATGTTTATTGGGTTAAAATGTCAAGTAAGTTGTCAATTTAGACATGAATTGAGTTTGAGTTTGACATTTGTCAAGCCAATTCCTTTTTTTGAAAGAATTTGTTGAAAGAGGTTGGTTTTATTTTAAAAGTTGTAATTTTATTATTTTTAGTTAATAAACTTTGCAAAATAGCAAGAAATTGAATTTTTATAATATGTTGTACTCAAATTTTTGTTATTTGCAAAATATATATTCCTAATAGGATTGCAAATACGTTTAATTTTTTTTACCACGTGGTTGTTAATGAGGTTCATGTTTCCTTTCAGGATAATACAACAAACAAAATGGGTAAAGGAAATAATATGATCCCCAATGCTCACTTTCACAAGTGGTGGCAAAGACATGTAAGAACATGGTTTAACCAACCAGCACGTAAGCTTCGCCGTAGGCAAAATCGTATCAAGAAAGCGAAAGAACTATTCCCACGGCCTGCAAAAGGTCCTCTTCGGCCAGTTGTTAGATGTCCAACAATACGTTACCACACAAAACTCCGTGCCGGACGTGGTTTCACTTTGGAAGAATTGAAGGTGCAAAATGTACTTTACAATAATTTTTATTTTCTGTTGTTGTGATAATTTTAGGGAGCTGGTCTTAGTCCTGGATTCGCACGTACTATTGGTATTGCAGTTGATCGCAGACGTCGTAATAAGTCCATTGAATCAAGACAAAGAAACGTACAAAGATTAAAGGAATATAGAAGCAAATTAATCTTATTCCCATTGAACGAAAAGAAAATAAGGAAAGGTGAATCAACTGTTGAAGAAACTAAATTGGCAACACAGCTTAAAGGTGAAATTATGCCTATTAAGAAAGAACAACCTGTTGTTGAAATTAGAGAAATTACCAAGGACGAAAAGAAATTCAAAGCATTTGCTACACTTAGAAAGGTGAGACTATTAGTGTAAACATAAACAAATTCTTAAACATTTTTAATTTTAAGGCTCGTGCTGATGCTCGTTTGGTTGGTATTCGTGCAAAACGTGCAAAGGAAAATGCTGAAAATGAAACTGAAGCTAAAGAGAAGAAAGCAAAAAAGTGAATTAAGTTTTAATAAAATTTTCATTTTATGAAAAAATAATAAAACAGTTTTTTTCATTTGCAAACACATACGCTGTGTGAAATTTTATATAATTGTAGCAAAAATCTTAAAAAAGATTTTAGAATTCTAAAAATTTAAAGAATAGAAAATTTTATTAAGATGAAAAAAAGTTCAAAAATGTGGAAGAAGCTAGAGTTTTTGAAATGAATAAATAAATAACGCTAAATACTGAACGCTACTCGTTTTCTATCTAAACTAAATAAATTTTTATTTTAACCGTGTAAACAAAAACCAAAGAATGTTAACATTAAAAATTCGGTTAGTTAATAAAACAAAATACAATTATGCATATTAACATCAGCTAAGAACATAAATTATTAAGTACTTTTTACAAAACACAGATCATAATACAGGCACGAAATTTAGTTATTGTAATTAGGTCGACCACCCAATTCTAGCAAGTATCGGTCAGGATTTTCCATCCAATCAGCTGCTGTTAATTTCACGGTGCGCTGTCGTTCGGCTTCTTTTATCTGCCATTTTTTAATATCAAGTTGTACTTCACGTGACACCTTATCACCACATCCCCAAACCTTTTAAAACAACATTAATATTTTTAATATTAATAATATTTAAATACATGTACCTCGATTGAAGATAAGATTGCAGGAATTCCTTTACAATCAACTTTTTCAAAATGTTCATCAATGGCAATAACAGGTTTTCTTGGGTCGGACCCCGCTCTTAAGCCTTTCGGATAGCCTCTCATCGAAGTATTTAAGCACAAAATATTTGGTTTTTTTTCTATTATCACAAACCTATAAATTTATTTTTTTAATTTAAATGTTTTCAATAGGAGAAGTCTTAGTATACTTTAAGAATATTTAATTTACTTACTTTGGCAGCAATTGTATAATACAACTATCTTCTCCTCCAGTGTACAAATGAGTTTCTTTCCACTCGGAAGGAGAAGCTATACAATATGCTTGATCATCTTGAGTATGTATCAGAATTAAAGTGGGCCCACGATAGCCTAGTACATGGTGTAAAAATCGATTTGCTCCCACACCATGTTGATTAGAATCGTATAATAATGTCCAATGAGATGGAATAAGGCTGAATTTATCTTTAAATGTCTGCATTGCGCATTTCGGTGGATTATTACCTGTTGGACTTCCCGTTGTAACCGCTTGTGGTTTTGAATATATTGGCGGTAAAGTTCCTGCCAAAAGCCAAGCTTGTGATAATGGCATCAATGAATTTTCTGCAGGTACATTATTATCAAACGCAGGTCCTTTTTCTAAAACTGGTGTTGATAATTCCACTCCGTAAGATGTTTCGCTTTGCTCTAAACCACGATAACAAGTTGATAAGGTGTGAATAACATATTTGTGTACCAAAAGAATTAGACGTGTACAATTTTGTTCCATATAACGAGCAATGAACCCTATACTTAAGGTATCTTGTGAGAAGAAAATAGCTTTTAAAACAGAATCTATAGTTCGGTCAGCCTAAATTATAAATTATTAATTTTTTTTTTAATGTAGGATATACATATGTATAGGAATTATGCTTACAAAAGGACATATTTTTGAGGCACCAGTATAGTGAGACATTGCAACTTTGAAGCATGTGAGTAAAAATTGACTTAAATCATCCTTAGTAACCATATCAGATCGATCTGCATCTGCATACATTTTTAAGTAATTTTCGATTATTTTACTATCATCTATAACTCCTAAAAATCTTTCACATTGTTGTCTGAAAGCTATTTCTCCTAAATGCTCAGTTTGAGCTCTTGAATTATCATGAAATAATTTAAATAATCTGTGCCCTAAATCAGCATATCTTGGAAAAACGTATATCTGTGAATTTTTAAAATTTCAGCAGAATGTACATTAAAGTATAAATATTTATTTAATTTACCACAAACGTATCAGAATTAATACCATTGATTCCATATATTTCTCGTGTTTTTTCTTTTAAAATCTAATAAAAATTTGAAAATCAATTAATTTTAAATTAATAATAATTATTGCTTGATTATTTCTTACTTGAGAAAGTTTCTCAATTGGAACAAATTGTGTTAAACTTTTTTCTCCAATTTCTGCTCCAGATGGCGATCTTGGAAAACCTTTTTGTTGTACAGAAAGATAGTCGCTGGAATTGTTACTTGGGTGGTCATTTGTATCATTGCTAACATCTGATGTTGTACTACGAGAATTATTGTTACCCATATTGGTTTCTTGATTTATTGAAAAAAAATTTAGTCATTTATATTTTGCTAGGTTGTTTAAAAGTTATTTGCGCAACAACAAATTTTATATTTTTATCTAGACAGTGACACTTTGTTTAAAAATAATGAAATTAAAAGAAAAAGTTCAAAACAAAAAAAAAAGCATTCACGAAAAAAATAAAAACAAATTCATGGCAATATTTGACAGTTCAGCTGAATTATAAAAATTACACCTATTCCCTATTATACGACAATCTTTATTATTATAAAAGAAGCATAAGCGTTTGGAAATTAAATGTAGAAATAAATTAAAAACACTTTTTCTACAATACGATAGAAAAATTTGCCAATTTATTTCAAATTTTCATTTTTGAAAATTAAAGTTCAAATGTGTTCAATAATTGTTATTTATTGTTATTCAGCAAGCACAGATTGCTGAATAAAGATGAATTAGCGGCACTAATTATTTTCACATTTTGCTGACATAGCAGGCTATCTCATAACAATGATTTCAATTAACATATAAATTTTTAATATTGTAATAAATTGATTGAATCTTTGAATGGTGTGTAAAATATTAAAGAATTCGAAATATCTTTTTTTTAAATGATTTGTATCTTATATTCAATATACATTATAATTTGATATCACATGTTTTCTTATTGTATACGCCTGGGAGGAGAAAGAAAAAATTAATCGAAACCGTAATGTGTGAATTAAAATGTGTTAAAACAAATTGATCAAGTTGCTGTAGATTAAAATTTATACAGGAATGGCACAGGTAATTTAAAATATGCAAGTGATTATACCGTTAACTTAAAATATGAAACAATTATATCGTTATTTTTTTTAGTATAGGAATTACATAATTCAAAGAAGCTTAATAAAACAAAAATTGAAATTTGTTGCTACCATACTCGTGCATTAATAAATTGTACGCTGGATTCCCATTCGAAAATTTATTCAACAATTTTACAATTTGGTAATTTATTTCTAAATTAAATCAGATTTAAAAATCGAATTATTGCAATATAGAATTGAAGCTCAATTCTTATAACATAAAAATAAATGACTTGATGGTAATAACTTGAACTTCTCTGGAAGGTTTTAACAGAAACTTTTTAAGTGCCTACAATTTTATGAAGAAATAATAAATTGATGCGAAGAAAAATTTACCTAAACAGGTTTAAAGAATTTTGTTTAGGTTTTATAATTAAGATTTTTAATTGATTAATGATTAAAGATTAATGTTAAATTTCATTTTGTTTTATATTTTAGATTCTGGATGAACGGAAATAAATGCAAGTGCTAAGAGTTCTGGAACATGTAAAAGTTTTAATAACCACAAGAAATAAATTATCTTAATGATCTAGCTGTCATAACGAGAATTTATGTCTATAAAGGAAATAAGAAATTAAATTCATTAAATATCAATTAATTATTTAAATATGATATTTAAGAAAACAAAAACAATTTTGAAAACAATTTCTCCCATTTGCACATTACATAATTAGAAAATAGAGGTCTACATAATTAGAATTACATAATTAGAAAATAGATGTCAAAATAATTACGTATTAGATTTTATATTTTACATTTAAATTTTAAATTAAATTAAATTTTCCAAAATAATCTTTATAAAAATTAAAAATATTTGTACAATATTAATTTTATTTTCCTTTTTGTTTTATTAAAAAGAGTACAATAAACTGTTAAATAATATAAATTATCATAAAAAAAAAATTAAAAATATAAAAATATTTGAAAAATTTTGATTATTAATAAAATAAATGATCTTCCTTTATGTTTAACTAAAATATTACATAACTAAAATATCATAAAAAAAAAACCTTTCTTTTACATTTCTTAAAACTAAAATACAACTTTCTATTATTAAAATATACAAACCTAGATAGAATATATTTAAAAGTAAAGCATAAAAAGCGAAGGATATTTCTTTATTTAAATTCTCGATTTTGTTTATTAATACAGGAAGCATTTGAAAATCAATACAAAACAGGTTGGATGAAAATAATAATGGATGGAATACACATATATTTTCTCTTTAATAGTCTCTTGTTTTCTTTTATTTTTATTTTTAATAAAGTAATGGGCCCCACCTTGATATTACTTAAATATGGGTGAGTCACACCCAAATATATATTAACTTATATCATTATATTCATCTATATATACATAATATATTTTAATGTATGTATATTAAAAAAATATTTTGTAGATTATTGTCCTTTTGAACGGAAAATATCCTATAGTTAATATAAAAATGTCGTCATACATTTTACTAAAAAAAAAACAATATATAAAATCAACTTAAAATTCTTATTGTCTACGAAAATCATATATAGCAAAATAAAAATAAATAAAATTAAAGAAACAAAATTAATTAATCGGTTTTGCTCATGATTTTAGTTCTCCTTAAAAATATTTTTTATCAACTTCGAATCACATTTAATATTAAAAACTATTTCTTTTCTTTAATTTTCTTTTATCTATATATATATTAACTAAAATATTCTTATTCATTGATTAAGTCTTCTTTTTTTATCTAAATGGTAACATATAGTATGTGATTACATGATAGTATACTTTATATACCTATACCGTAGGGGTGTAGGTATATGAAGTGCCCCGTATATAGGGTATTTTGCAACTACTTTTAATTTCACTTACCTTTGTAACTTTGAAAACAAAAAGTATGAATAAATTCAATAAAGCCAGTGATAGGCTTAAGATGTATTATTTTGCTTATATTAATGATTAAATACTAAATATGGGTAGTATGGTATAATGATTATACTAAATATGTAAGTGTATTTCTGATTTCGCTCAATATATAGAAATAATTTGCCTTGTTATACTAATGATACAGTATCTCTAACTTTAAATTTGCTGTAAAACAAGATTAATACACTGTACAGCTTATAATTTGTAACTGGTAATTATAGTAAATACGAGTAGCTTTGTAATACAATGTTACAGCAAATATGAGGTCGCCGTATGTCAATACGAATTTGAATTCAATGTTATAATATCACAGTTTTAGTAATCCGAATTCGAAACTGTTTTTGAATTCATTTTTTTGCAATCCATTTATGTTTCGTTCCACATTCCAGATTTTGAAGGAAAATTTATTAAAAATTAAAAAAAAAAAGTCTTGTTTAATAGTAAAATTTTTACAGAATAAATAGATTAAACTTTGTCAAATTCGAATTTATAATGTTATAAAATTAAAAGTCACAAATTATGACTTATGCAACTATTTCTGGTATTGCCACAGAAATTAAATTTATTGTAATTAATGGCTTTTAATATAAATGTGTAAACTAAATTTTGTACTGTACTGTAGGTGCACTCAATATCAATAATATTGTAAACAACTTTGCAATAATATTAAAATTTTTATATTTTTTACAATATTTAAAAGAAAATTTATTGTATTTACGAAAAAATAAAATTCTCTATCTTCTCTAAAATGGAAAATTCTTTTTTGATTCTGAATTTCATTTGTATATGTTAGGAATGCCGAAATATTATTTTGTTTGTTAATTAATATCATAAAAATAAATGATTAATTAAAATATATTTTTTTTTACTTCTATTAACACAGCGATGATAAAAAAAAAGTTTTTGGGTTTTTGATATATTAATTGATCTATATCGTATAGATGCGCTTATATATTAAAATGTATATAAAAATTTATTGTAATTATGGTGGTTTTCATTTCGAAGTTCTGAAAGGTGTAAACTAAATTTAAGGCTATGTTGTATTGTAGGTGTATTTTTGCCTCTAAGGATAATTTTTTTTTGTTCTCTTTCTGTATGTATGAAATATTAATATTTTCAACACTCAATGTAGGCCTAATATTCATGTGTCAGTGAAATTATTCAAAAATTTTATTAATAATTTTTTTTTGACAAAATAATATTAAAGGAGTAAAATTAAATAATAACTTAAGATAATTATTTAAATATCTTGAATTAAATTAAATATTTTTTAAATAAACACAATAACTCCGTTTCAAAAATACACACTGACACAACATGAAATTGTCATGTTTTTTGAAATAATTTAAATAGATTTATTATTAATTAATTTTGTGAATGACAATTTTTTATATTTTATATAAATTTGTGAATTACATATTTGCATATGTAAGATGAGCTGAATTTCTAAATTTAAATCTCAACACCCTTAAGAAAATATGTATATAATCTCATTTATTGAGCCAATTTTCAATTTTGTTATTGTAATAAATTAGTAAAATTTAAGTTAAACAGATTTTCGTTATTGAATAACATGTATTGTGCATATTCGACCCATATAGGATCTGTCGGTCCCCCGGAGGGGAAACAAAAAAAAATTATGCATATTTTCTTTATACTCGTATATGTTTATAACATTTTGCATATACATATATGCAATTCTTTTAAAAATTTTATTTATACACTTTTTAATTAAAATTTTTGGGTAATAGACACAAGATATAATTTTATTCTTTTGACACATTCTAAAAAGATATTTATAGTAAAATCAGACATAGAATCAAATTAATTAGTTGTATTGTTAAAATTTAATATTATTTCGATGATTATTGACTCTATATACATGTATGTATAATGAGATGAACTTATTTTATAACTTATTAAGAGACGCGTCCCTTTAAAAACATCAACATTTTTCTTAAATAAATTATACCACAGTTTACATATTTAGGTATAACGTTCAAAGTTTATATTATCTCAAATTGTTTTAGGCAATTAAGAGACGTTCGCTACGTACAACATATACGTATGTATACATAAATATTGTGTTATAAAAACCCCCCTCTATTTTAGCATTGTATATAAAAAAACCTATTAACAAACTATTAAAATTCATTTTATTTTATAATAAATTATTTTTACCATCTTATATTATTAATAGTATATCATAGATTAAAAATTAAATTGAATACAATAATGCCTTAAAATTTAAAACTAAATAAGTTTATAATGTTTATTTTATTTAATGTAATTATTTTGTACATATACGTATATATATATTTAGTTAATTTAAATTGATATAATTAAAAATTTTATTCTAAAACTAGCTATGAATAGACAATATATACTATAGCTATTCTTTGT